TTCACGCAAATTCTTCTGCTAGTTGGGGTTTAGTCCACTTCTGTATCTTTCAAGGCTCAGGGGTCCAGGATTATCTTCTGTGTCTGTGTTAATTGGTTTTCCTTTTCTTTGTTGAAGAAGGTCTGTGCAGTCCTTCTGCCTAGTCCTCCATCTTGCGGGAACTGAAAATGACAATTTCTTAAGGTTGTCAAGCCAAGTGTATCAGTGACGTCATGGCAACCAATATGCTTTCAAAGTTTTCCTAAAAGTGACTAGCCTTAAACACTTCAAGGAGTTCATAAATATGAACATCACCATTTAATAAAATTAAAAATACAGATTATCTGTCATCACAGCCACCCATGAGGGAAGCCAAGAAATGAAGTTTCTGGTTTTAGCCCTTCCATAACCTGGCTTTGGACTCTGGATGGTCTATCTGGGCCTCAGTTTCTTCATTGATAAACTCAGGGGAATAAACTCAGCATCCCACCTGCTCTGATGAACTCTGACCTGTGACTCTGTGAGTCAGAAGTCTGTCATAACTTCAGCCCCAGGGTTGCTGGTCAGTGCCCTACTATTGCCACTCTGCTGGCTTCAATCTATCCTTCCAAAGACAAGAAATCTAGTATGAGATACCTCCTCTATCAAAGAAGTCTCTCCCAGCTTTGGAGAGAATCATATTCTCCTTTTTCTCTCTTCAGCTGGAACCAGTGGGCCATAAGACAACCTCCAACAACTTCACCTACAGCCGAACCAAACTCAAGTGCCCCTCTCCTGTGAGTAAATAGCCCTGTCTGTCCCTGACTGTCTACTAGGGGTACCACCATGTAAACACACAGAGGAGTCCTCTGGGAGGTTTTGTCAATGGATACATTCGTTCCTTACACCATTCTCAAATCTTACGTCTCTTCCATGCCACTGAAACTTTGCTATTCCTCAGGGTATGGAAAGCCAAGGAGTGAAGACAGGGAGAACCCAACATCTCCAACAGAAGTGAGAAGAGTCATTCAGGGAAGGTTGACTAACAAGCACTGGTCAAATATCTTGTGTCACCATCACTTCTTATACATCTCACCCATTCTCTGTCTTAAACATGTATGGAGTAGCTTTCCCATGCCAGGCACTATACTAGAAGCAAACATAAGTGAGAGCAAACATAAGTAAGACTCTCAGAGCTTACAATTCTTTTCCTCCCTTCCCATCTCACTGCCACATCCCTGGTCCAGGGCCTGTCTGCCCTTGCTTGGATCACTGACATGGCCCTTACCTTGTCTCCCCATCTTGCTCTCTTCTCTTCCCTTCTCCACCCCTCCTATATATACTTCTGGAAAGTAACTCCAGTCTTGTCATAGCTGCTTAGCTTCCCTGGTCCCCACTACCTACTGAGTAGAGTTCAGAGAGGAGCACCACCTCCCCCTATTACCTTTTGCATACTCTATGCTCCTGGCAAATGGACTAGCGTGCCAGACAAGCCACACAATTGTCCATATCTGTGCTTTGACTGCTGCCATGTTCTCCTCTTAGAGGGTCATCTCCCATCTCTACCTATGAAAAATGTTTGCATTCTTCAAGGTCCAGATGTTTCCTTCTCTGGGATCCACCTTATCTTACCTTACTTTTCTCACCCCCAAACACACACCTGTGTTGATTTCTCTTCTCTATTTGTACTTCTCATAAGACACTGACTCAAAAAAAAAAGAAAGAGAAGACACTGACTCATTTTCCTTTATGATGTGATTATTCCTATACATATCTTATCTCCCTATTGGACAATGAGAGAAGTCTCAACTTAGCCCTCAGGTACTCATTCCTGCTCCTAGCAGGGCTCAATATAGCAGGCACTCAATTAATGTTCACCAAGAGTAAGAAAAGAAAGAGGTAGAAGGACAAAAAGAGTCCAGGGAGGGAGGTCCACATGCTTTCTCTCCCAGCCCTTCTCATTTTTGGTCCTTTAATCTACTCTGGAACCAGCTGTCCTTCACGTCTACCTTACCTGATTCCCTAAGTACTCCTGGGATGAGAGTAGCTGTCCAGGGGTGATTGAGAAGAAACAGAGGTGGAGCCTCTATCTGGCTTCCCAGGCTCCTCTTCCATGAATCCCAATTCCCCAATGCGGAATCTAATCTTTTAAAATTGGGTGGACAGGAAAGGAGTCCTGACAAAGAAACAAAAGAAGGGTGTTGCCCCCTTGGGATACCCATCCTCACTAAGAAGGTCTGGATACATATAAATGAAGAAAGCTTACACATGGGAAGAGCTGTAAAAATGTGCAAGGTCTTTTACTCTCTAGGGGGTGGGGATTAAACAAACCTCAGGTGGGCGATGGATGGTTCTCAGGGCCCTTAACCTCTGACTCTCTCTCTTCTCCTCCACAGGATCATCCCTACTTCTACACCCTGAGGAATAGTCAGTTACTTCCAGACCAGGCTAACGAACCCTCCAACATGCTAAACTGGGCTGTGCCAGTGGCAGCAGCACTTGGTCTTGTGGTTGGAGTCGGCATAGTGATGGCATGGAGAGCCATAAGAGGTTGCTAGAGGGAGGAAGTCCCAAGCCTGAATACTGTTGGGCCTCTTGGCACGCAGGTTTTCATCCTAAATTCCCCAACTATACTTCTCACCAGCCCTGCAACTTCAGCCACCACTGGCCACCACAGAGATCACTTCCTTCAATACTTGGTAACTACATGAGACCAGGGAATAGTCATAACTCCTTGGGACCTGGGAACTACACTATTGAAATTGTCAAATTGAAATAAAAGCTATTTCATTCTTTGATTTGCCTTCTTGAAGAACTTGCTTTCCATCTGTTGTGAAACTTAAGTGTGGGAGCTAGACACTTTCCATTTTCCTGTCTCAGCCAGCACTGCCTGAGTGATAGCAAATCAGAAAGGAACTGCACCTATCAGGCCCTAACATAACACCATAATAAGCATATCCTCGGTTACCAACTCCACTATTTCAAAGGTAGGAAAAATACTGGTCACCAGGTGGTGACTGGAATTTTGGAGCTGGCTGGTCACCTTTCAATTCAATCCAACAAATATGTGTTAAGCACCTGTTTCATACCCAGGACAGTGAAAGGCATTGTTCTACCTCAAAGATGACACCTGCCATGGCCTGGCTGGGAAGACAAACACCTTCAAAACACAAGGAACTACATGACAGTGTGTAATTAAGTACTGGACTTGGGCAATAAATATGTTTGATGACTTTAGAGAATAGGAGGGGTTCCTTGGGAAAAGTTTCCTGGAAGACAGAAATTTTGAAATGACATTTATAAATAAATAAATAAAATGAAAGGATTGGAATGACTCACATACCCTCTATCTGATTTTCCCAAGGTGCTAACCTGAGGAAAGATTTCCTAGTTCAACATTACCTGGTTTCTAAGAGAAAGCTAGAGAGAATCCGATGTCATAATACAGGTTGCCATTCATTTATCACCTGCTAGGGACAAAGTCCTGAGCTGGATGCCTTACTCAGATTAAGCTCCTTTACTCCTCTCAATATTGGGGAGGAAGACATTATCGTCTTCATTGTAAGTGCCTCTCTGGTCCTCAAGCCTGTGGCAAGTATCAAAGAGCCTGTGTTAAAACCCCAGATGTTGTTGCTGTGTGTTTATAAATCAATTCCAACCCATAGCAACACAATGTGACAGAGTAAAACTGCCCTACAGGGTTTCCTAGGCTGTAATCCTTATGGAAGCATATGCCAGGTCCTTTCTCCCATGGAACCACTGGTGAGTTCAACCACCAACCTTGGGCTAGCTACCAAACCATTACCATTGTGCTTTAATCCTCGATAGACCATTTAATTTATGTGACCTTTGAATCAAACCCCTCCCTCAACCTAAGCTCTGGTTTCTCAGATTCCTCATTTATAAAATTGAAATAATAGAACCCATTTGTTGTTAGTTATCACCTATCTCATTTTTGTTAGTTGCCATCAAGTCAGTTCTAACAGAATGAAACACTGCCTGTTCTTGCATCATCCTCACAATCCTTGCAATGCTTGAGCTCATCACTGCATCCATTGTGTCAATCCATCTCGTTGAAGGTGTTCCTCTTTTTTGCTGACCCTCTATTTACCCAGTGTTCTGGTTACCTAGTACTGCTCTGACAAGAATATACCACAAATGGGATGGCCTTAACAAACAGGAGTTTATTCTCTCACAGTTTGGAGGCTTTAAGTCCAAGTTCAAAGTGCCAGGCTCTAGGGACTGGGTGAAAGCCCCTTAACCTTGGGGTCCAGCTCTGCCTCTTGCTCCTGGCCCACTGGAGCTAGAGGCATTTCTTCACTCAGACAGCTTCTGGCTGCCGAGGCTGACAAACCCAAGGTTGACAAGTGAAAAGGCACAGTCCCAATGTTAGCAAATCACACAGTATGTCATTAATTTAAGTCCATTGTAAGTCCCAAGGTCTGCAGAGCATGGCAGGCTGCTGAACAATGATACAGCTACATGCAGGGCCCAAGTGTGCCATAAGCTGGAGACCATTCCCAAAGCTGCTGCTTATATACAGGAAGCAGACTACATACCCAAAGGCAGCTACTCAGCTGCTCACAGTAGATTCCACCTTGGAGTTGATTACCAGTCTCATCATGGTAACGACATCCAGCTGCCCAGCCACTCAACCAGCCCTAGCCAAGTTGACACAAAATCATAACCACCACACCCAGCATGGTATCATTCTTCTAGGGACTGGTCCCTTCTGATAACACAAAGTGCAACAGACAAAGTCTGACCATTCTCACCTCTAAAGAGCATTCTGGCTGCACTTCTTCCAGACAGATTTTTTTTCATACAGGTGGTCCATGGTATTTTCAGTATTCATCAACAATATAATTCAAAGGCATAAAACTCTTCTTCATTCTTCCTTATTCATCATCCAGCTTTCACATGCATATAAGGCTATTGAAAATACCATGGTGTAGCACCTTAGTCTTCAAAGTGACAACTTTGCTCTTTAATAACTTAGACAGGTCTTTTGCAGCAGATTTCCCCAGTACAATAAGTCCTTTGATTTCTTGACTGTTGCTTCCGTGGGCATTGATGTGGATCCAACTAAAATGAAATTCCTGACAACATCAATCTTTTCTCCATTTATTGTGATGTTGTTTATTGGTTCAGTTATGAGGATTTTAGTTTTCTTTATGTTGAGGTGTAATCCATACTGAAGGCTTTATCTCATAGGACTGCATATATAAATAACAAACTGCATTTAAAAATGCTTTGTAACTCTAACCAACCAAACTCACTGTCATTGAGTCAATTCTGACTCATAGTGACCCCCATTGGGTTTCCAAGGCTGTAAATCTTTACGGATTTACAGGGGACAGCCCCCAGGCAGCAGGGAGCAGCGGCAGACAGAGCCAGCAAGAACAGGTAGAGGATATCTCAGGAAGGGAGTGGCTGGAACAGCTAAGAGAGATGAACTTGTCTGTCAGTTTTTTCATACTGTGGTGGCTTGCATGTTGCTGTGAGCCTGGAGGCTGTGCCAGCAGGGGTGTCCATGGTGGGAAATTGTTCAGTGGAGCTTCAAGACTGAGACAGACTTGGAAGAAGGAAGAGGCCATCCACTTCTCAAAGAATTGACCAGTGAAAACCTTACAAATAGCAGGGAAACACTGCCTGGTATATTATTGGAAAATTTTATCAATAGCCCTGAAACATTGTCTGATATAGTGCTGGAAGATGAGCCCATCAGGTTGGAAGGCACTCAAAATGTGACTGGGAAAGAGCTCCCTCATCAGAGTAGAGCCTACCTTAATGATATGGATAAGGTAGAGCTTTTGGGGCCCTCGTTTGCTGATGTGGCACTACTCAATATTTGAAGAAACAGCTGCAAACATCCATTAATAATCAGAACATGAAATGTACAAAATATGAATCTAGGAAAATTGGAAGTTGTCAAAAAATGAAATGGAACACATAAAGATTGATTTGCTAGACATTGGTGTAAATCAAATGGATGAGTTTTGGCTATTTTGAATCAGATTAAACATATGATCTACTATGCCTGGAATGACAAATTAAAGATGAATGGTGTGGCATTCATTGTCACAAAGAATGTATCAAGATCTATCTTGAAGTACAGTGCTGTCAGTGATAGAATAATATCCATAAATCTACAAGGAAGCCAGTTAATACTGCTATTATTCAAATTTACATACCAACCACCAAAGCCAAAGATGAGGAAATTGAAGATTTTTAC